ATGATCAAGGAGGAGAGTGACTACCATGACCTGGAGTCGGTGGTGCAGCAGGTGGAGCAGAATCTGGAGCGCATGACCGTGAGCAGACAGGCGCCTGGCTCGCAGTGGGGGGGTGGGCAGGGCCAGCCTGGCTGGACACTGTCAGGTGTCTGCTGTGTCACTCCCTACAGGGCACTGAGTCCTGCCCCGGGGGCACATGGGTCTGGGTGGGCCCAGGCAGGCCGGCGGTGAGCAGGGCCCCTCACAGTGGGCTGCCCAGCCATGGGTGGGCCCGCCTGGCCGGGGCCGCCAGGTAAGGGAGAGGGACGGGGAGGGAGGGGATGCGTCCTGTGTCCATTTTACCGTATCAGTGATGCCTTTTATTTTTTTTCTTTTTTTGTGGGGGGAATAACAGAAACGGGCAGTAAAGGCCGAAAATCACGTCCTAAAACTGAAACAGGAAATCAGCTTGCTCCAGGTAACTAGAGAGAGGGGCTTAAACGGTTCACGTATTCGTGAATTCCAAAAAGGGCACCAAAGAGTCTCTGCTGGGGTTTCCTCCCCTCGCCCTCCCGCTCCCCCGCAGATGAAGCACCCAGATCAGGACAGCATGAGCTTTCCTCCCGGGCCTCCTGGTTGTGCCCAACAGGAGTGTCGAGGGCATCACTATAGAGTGGGGGGTGGCACGTGCACACCAGACGACAGGCGAGGTACCAGGGACGGCATTAGGCCCGTGTCCTTTAGGAGGCCTGCTACCCCCCAGTTAGGAAAGGGCATCATCCCCTTGTCGCCTCTACCTAGGGTGCCTTGTCTGGTTTCAGTCAGATGGCCTTTTAGCTGCTCTCCTGTTTAGCCAGGAAAAAGTCCTAACGCTGCCATGCCCGCCTCCCTCCCCCCCACCCCGGGCCCAGGCGCAGGTCTCTGACTTCAAGCGCGAGAACGAAGCCCTGCGGTCAGGCCAGGGTGCCAGCCTGGCAGTGGTGAAGCAGAACACCGACGTGGCCCTGCAGAACCTCCGCGCTGTCATGAACAACGCGCGTGCCTCCATCAAGTGAGTACAGGGCTTGGAGGGGGCTTGGAGGGGGGTGCTTAGCTGATGTTTCAAGCTGCAGCCTTGGGGGGTGGGGCTCAGTGATCCTGTTCACTCCGCAGTCATACGACACATCCTTGGCGAGCAGGCCCTCCACGGTCCGCGGGGGGATAACTGTTCTCACCTGGGAGGCTTGAGGGTTAACGTCAGCCAGACCTGAATCACCTACAAGACACCAAGATTTTGAGTGAAAAAGAATGATACTTTCCCTCTTATAAAAACACATACACTTGAAGAAGGCCCAAGACGTGCAGGGCACAGTGAGGCTCCTGGGAGGGGTTGGTTGCCGTCGTCGTGATCTCTGTCCCGCGGGGCTGAGAGCAGCAGCAGCGGTGTCCAGTCAGAGCCGCTGGTAGGGAAGCGCGTCGGGTGTCCAGACACAGCCGTGGGTAGAGAAGCCCGTCTCGTTTAAGTCCAGTACAAAGAGTCTCTTGAGACTGAATCTAAGATTTAAAAACTCTGCATCTTTCACTCTGGAACTTCTCTGCTTTAACGCTTCTGGGTTTTTTGGGGGGGTGGGGGCGGGGGGCTGCGTTGTGTGGCTTGCGGGATCTTAGTTCCCCAACCAGGGAACCAACTTGTGCCCCCTGCAGTGGAGGCGGGGAGCCCAGACCACTGGACCACCAGGGAGGTCCCAAAGCTTCTGTTACTGCCCTGGAGCAGCTGTAGAAACTGTCTGTAACATCTGTGCTTTTATTTCAGGCAGCTGGTTTCTGGAGCTGAAACGTTGAATCTTGTTGCTGAAATCCTTAAATCTATAGACAGAATTTCTGAAATTAAAGATCAGGGGGAGGAGTCTTGAGACCCACGGAGGTGCTTCCAGCTCACAGCTCTGTTTACATCCTGAAACCATTACCCCATGGATTCCAACATGCCACCATGTCTCTGAATGTGCAGTCTTCACACACAGTAAAGATATCTATCACGAGATAGTAATTTCACGGGCTGGAACAGTATCGTGAGCCGCACACAGGGAGGAGCAGCCCCTGGGTGCGAGAGCCGCCCCTGTACTCCGTGTAGCCCTCCTTGGTGAGCTCCGGGTGCTGATCATCCTGCTGGAAGACATTTCTAGAAAAGCTGGTGCTTCTTTTAGAGCTACTAAACAAAAACAGCAATTCTGTGACGAGTGTTTTCCAGTGTCGTTCTAGAATATGAACTGTAAGATAAGTTCAGTTGATCGTCTTTGCTTTCGTAAGTAGAGAAAAACACTAAATGAGTCACAACGTAAGCGCTCGCCTTAGACAGGGACCTGTGCCTTACTGGCGGTGCTCTGCACCCCCTCTGGCTCACAGCCCACTCCTTCAGCTTCGGGGTGGGGGGGGCTCCTGTGGTTGGTGACCTGAGCGTGGATGCCCCACGAGGTGGTTGCCATTATCTTCCCGCAGGGATCAAGGTCAGCACAGGCATTCCACAGTGGGGCACCACCTAAGTGCACTGGAAAACTGGTTTTGGCTGGAGGGTTTTGCTACGCATTCCAAGCGGCATCTTGTAGGATGACATGTAGGATTCAGGGACTTGGAGCCTAGGCAGAGCCTTCCCAGGTCAGGGCGGTGTCTCCCCGGGTGCCTTTCCAATCCCTTCCTGCTGGAGGGGAGGCGTAACATGCACTAGATGCCTTTTTGGCTGTTTTCCTATGGATGTGATTTTTTTAACTAAACGTCCTTTTTGCATCCTGTTCAAATGGACAGTTTTCTTATTTAATAAATTCTAAAATTCATATGCAGCGTCCTTTTTTTCCCTAATTCAGCCCGTTCTTTATGCTTGAGAATCACGCTGCTGACCGTGGCCTAATGGGTGGTTTGTGCTGATAAATGAAAAAGCCCAGGGGGTTAGGGTGGACCCACACCGGCTGCTAAGCTCGGCTGCAGGGACAGCGCGCTGCGGACACGCGCGGCACAGCTGCGTGTCTTGAGTGGGGCAGGTTGGAGTCTAGCATGGGAGCGTTTGAGGTCCCCTGGTTGGACTTACAAGACGTTTAAACTGCTAGGCCCTGTGATCTCAGCTACAGGTAAGAGCCTCCCAGGACTCCCCACTGACCCCGCCCTTCATCTCACCCCCACCCACTACCTTGTGCTCCCGCCCGTTGGTGAAAAGTGGGTTCCGGGATCAGTTTTCAGAGCAGACTTCAGACAGGGTGGTCTAGTAGGAGAGTGTTAGAGCGAGCCTCTCTTCTGGGTGTGCTCGCAACAGCGCTGGGGCTGCTGAGGGGGTGCCTGGGCCACAGCCCTGGGTAGAGGGCACAGCATTTATTTTACAGGGACCAGATCACCGGGCTGGAGGGCTGGGGTGGGCACAGGGGGTCTGGGTGCAGCAAGGAGGGGGGTGGACACGCAAGCTTCTGTTACACTGTTCTCTGTGCCTTTGAAGTGTTCCACAGTAAAAAAAAAAAAAAAAAAAAAACTTCAGAGAACAATTCACGATGACTTTGTTGAACATGCATCTCTGCCTGTGCATCTGGACCCCGTGGGCTCGGGTCCCGGACTATTACGGGGGCGCTGAGTGAGCACGGGAAGGACCGGCAACTCTGTGGGCCCCTCGCTGCAGGTCCCGCTTTGAGCACCAACCCGCGCCCCCTCCCCACCGCCGCCACCCCACCTGGCTCACGGGAGGGGCGCCTGCTCCTACCTCTCCCGGCATCCTCACTCGCGTTCCAGGCCTCGGCCACCGCCCCCGGGAAGACGCACTCACTCTGGAGGTCAGGGGCCCTCCCCGCGGGGGCGCGTCGCCGGGGTGAGGCCGGTCGTCTCCGACGGGCTCGGCGCGCTGGCCCCGCACGGCCCGGCCGGGACAGTCGCGAGCGCTTGGCGGGTTTTCTCCTCGGTTCCTCAGCCAAAACCCTGGACACAGCTAACGGAGAAACAGCACAGACAGGCTCGGTGGCTGCGGGAGGTCCCACAGCGAGGGAGAAGACTCTCCGGACCCGGTGACCGGGCCCCTGGGGGCCGCAGCGAGGCGCCGGCGGGCGCGGGTAGTCCCGCGGGCGGCCGCACGGAGGCAGCACTGGCCCGCCCGAGAGCCCCGTCCCGGCGTGCCCCGCGCCTCCGCCAAGGCCTTGGAGGCGGGACTTCCGGTGTGCGGCTCAGTCTAAGCGCTGCTGCTAGAAGCGAGGTTTGCGGAGGCCGGGCGCCAGCTCTGCGAGCAGGTGAGGAGCGACGGGGGAGGGCCGGGGGGCGAGGGGCGGGGGGCGGCTGGTGAGGAGCGGCGGGGGTCGGCGGGGTCCGCCGCGGGGCTTATCATCACCGGGGCCCAGCGGGCGCCGTCGGGGTCAGAGCGTGCGGGGCGCCCCGACGCGCGGGGGCCCCTGGGCCGGGACCGCGCCGCCGTCCTGGAGGCCTCCTTCCCGCTGCCCGAGGAGGTAGTGGCCCCGCGCCCAGCCGGAGCTGCTGTCGGTTCTGCAGACCGGCTGGCTTCAAGCCGAGCTGGGTTATAAACACTTTGCATTTCAGCTTTGTGCTGCTGCGCGAGCTGGGGACGCTCTGATTGGCGGCGGCCCTGTTTGTCGCAGTGGAGGCCCCCGTCGCCTGCAGCGGGGAGAGGCCTTGCACGGGCGGGAGGAGGCTGCTCCTGAGTGGTTTGGGCTCCTGGGTCTGTGCTTCTGTTCCCCTGGCGTTTCCCCTGCCGCCCACTTATTCTTCCGCCTTCGACCCCTTTCTAGACTTTCCACATCCTTGTTCCTAAGAAAAGAGGTCCCTGTTTCTTCAGCAAGGGTTTGTTCAGTGTCAGACAGCCCCGAAGGCTAGGTGCTGTGCTAGATGCTGGGGCTACAGCAGGTCCAGGGGGCTTCCTCCCAGGGCTTCGAGCCCTGCTACCTGGTCAGCGTGTATTTCAGTGCTCGCTTGCCCAGTACCCTGTGCGTCCAGGTCTGTGCCGCGGGCAAGCGGCTGCACCTAGGGTCCATGGGCCTCATTCTTGTCCTCTAGTGACTTTGCCACCATGCCCTCCTTTTAACGCACTGGGTGGCCAGCTCACTCATGGCTTCGTGGCAGTTGGACTGTTTTGGTGTCCATCACTCTCCTGCCCTGTGCTGGTCGCAGACTCAGGGCGGCTGACAGAGCAAAAGCGGGAGTTCACGGGGCACAGGTGGGTGTCAGGTCGGTCCCAGGGCTCCCCGGGCCCGGCCTCTCGCCTGGTGCCTGCTTTGGTCAATCCCCTGCAGGGCTGCGCGTCTGAGGGCCGGTGGGATTCCTGCACCCCCTTGGCTTATAAGATAACGTATTTTGCAGGCGGGCAGACGTCATGGATATAGATGCTGAAAGAGTCAGAATATCGAAGGAGATCAGGGAGTTGGAAAGGATTCTGGATCCCAGCTCTTCGAGTATCAACGTGGACATCTCGGAGTCAAGTCTCGACTCGGATTCTGATGCAGGTCAGTGTGTACGCTCCTTGGTCAGAGCGGCCGTGTCTGCCCTCGGGCTCCGGTCGGCCACAGTGTGCTGTGGTGCTGGACAGTGTGTTACCCCGCCCCCCCCCCGTCAGCCCCTGGCCCCGCTGGCTGCGTGCGAGCGCCCTGCCCCGTGGTGCAGCCGGCTGTCCTGGGAAGAGGGGCCGTGTTGCCCTCCTCGGCAGTCGGAAGGTTCCAGGGCTGAGCTCGGCCCCGTGCTTGAACAGTCACCACCGCTGAGACCCCGTGGATCTCTTCCCTGGGCTCAGGCAGCTGCCCTCTGTCCGAGGACCCTGCTGCCAGGGCTCTTGTTCTGTCCACTCCGCGTGCTTTCCTGGGCCCTGAGTGTCCCTCCCCGCAGCTCTGGCTGGAGGCCTGCCTGCAGTGGCTGAGCCGTCCAGGGCCCCGGCCTGCTCAGCCCGCTCAGGCCCAGCTGCAGCTCTGAGACCGAGCCTCTCACGGTTCCCAGCTACACCAGGGCCTTCCCTCACTTGGCATCGGGGCCTCTGTGCCTGTCCTGTCCCCTCCTCTGAGTGGCTTCACTTCCCCCAGGGCAGAGCTGTCTCCTGTGAAGCCTGCCCTGGTTGTCCCCGCCGTCATGGTCCCTGCGTGCCCGGCGGTGCTCCGCGTTGGGCTGGCGTCGTCTCTCTCTGGCTGACCCTGCCCTAGGCCTAGTGCTCGCTTCCCACAGTCGATGGGCAGTGCTCGGCCACTGGGCACGGGCGGGGAGGGGCAGGTCCACGCAGCACAGGTCCCACCCTCCGGACCTCCCCGGCCTCCGCCCCTCTCTTGTCTGCCTGGGAGATGCGCCGCGTGCCGCGCTGGCCGTCGGTCTCCTCGGTGCCTGTGGCGGCCCATCACCAGCCGCCGTCTCCGTCGTAGTTAACTGACACGTGTGCTTGCGCTCCTGCAGATTCGCTGCCCGACGAGGACTCGGACGCCGCTGGCCCACTGCCCTCGGTAACTTCTGGCCTGAGATGACTGTGCCGCTGAGGCAGGCACACCACCCTGCCAGGGGGTCCGGGGAGGGGGGCGTCCTGAACTCGTCTTGGTTTTTCTGCATCTTTAAGGTAACACGTGTGTGTTAGTAAAGAGGAAACACCCCGAAGTATCATCGGAAGTAAGGTTGCCCCTGGATAGACCGCTCTTAACAGCCGGGCGTTCACACCTCTTGCTTCCTCTGAGCTCCTGTTGGCTCCACTGACGTCAGGGGATGTGACCTGACACGCAGGAGGCTGAGCAGGCTGCCTGGGTCCTGCCCCGTATTCACCTCTCTGCCTCAGTTTCCCAGTCTGTGCCATGGGGGCACTCACAGCACCAGTCAGTGCACACGTACCAGGCCTGGAACAGCGCCTGGCAAGTAAAGCACAAAGGTGGTGCCGGTTTTTAACTGTTTTTTGCTTATGTTGTAATTTTACATTAGTTTGGAAAATTTTTACAGTTGGCTTTTTGTTATTTTCATCAAGTCAATAGAAACAGAATTGCTTCCTGTTTTTAGTAGCTGGGCGGTCCTTCTGATGAGGATTTACGGTAGTTCCATGGTTTTGAGACTCGTCATCTCGAGATAGACATTGGGGCTGGCTCTGTTTTTAGTCTTACAACGCTGCAGCGGCCCCTGTTCCCGCTCACCGCGGCTGCCAGCGATCCTCTTACAAAGTCCAAGTTTTACAGAAGTTTTTATCGTAGGAAGTGAAAACTGCTTATTTCATTACACTTCGCCACCTGAAACTTATTCTTAGATAGTACTTTTTTTTCTTTAATTTTAATTTTTTAAATTTATTTTTGGCTGCGTTGGGTCTTTGTTGCTGTGCACGGGCTTTCTCTAGTTGTGGCGAGCGGGGGCTACTCTTCGTTGCGGTGTGCGGGCTTCTCGTTGCGGTGGCTGCTCTTGTTGCAGAGTACAGGCTCTAGGTGTGCGGGCTTCAGTAGTTGTGGCACACGGGCTCAGTAGTTGTGGCTCACAAGCTCTAGAGCACAGGCTCAGTAGTTGTGGCGTACGGGCTTCATTGCTCTGTGGCATGTGGGATCTTCCCGGACCAGGGATCGAACCCTCGTCCCTTGAGTTGGCAGGCAGGTTCTTATCCACTGTGCTGCCAGGGAAGCCCAGAAATTACACATAAATTGAACTGTCTTAAAACTAGGAAATGTGTCTGTGCGCTGTGTGGTCCTCTGTCAGGGTGGTCTCACGCCAGCCCAGCGGCCAGAATGTAGCTCCACTGGGGCCCGGAGGGTGCGGGAGTGTTCCCTTACCTGAAGTTTTCCGCTTGTCACCAGGAAGGAGAAAGGTGGGGGGAGGCCAGCAATGATGAGGATGACCCCAGGGAGAAGGCACTCCCTGAAGACCCAGAGACCTGCCTGCAGCTGAACATGGTCTACCAGGAGGTCATCCGGGAGAAGCTGGCAGAGGTCAGCCTGCTGCTGGCCCGGAACCGGGAGCAGCAGGTAGGACAGGGTCTGGCCCCAAGAAGCCCTGCAGCCAGGCCTCCCGGGACCAGGGCTCTGGGTCCCCTCCTCTCCAAGGGGAGGCACTGCTGCCTGGGCCACAGGTGGCCCCTTGTGTCTGCCACAGGAGGAAGTTATGTGGGAACTGGTGGGGTGCAAGGGCTCCAGGGTGAAGGACAGCAGGACCCTGCCCTCGAGTCTGTATATGGGGCACTTCATGAAGCCCTACTTCAAGGACAAGGTCACCGGAGTGGTGAGTGGTGCAGGCTCTGCTCTCGTCAGGGAGGGTGGGCAGGCTCTGTGGGAAGGGGCTCTCGTCCCCACAGCCTCTGTGGGCGTCGTGGCTTCCCTTGGATTCTTCAGGAGAGTGTTCCCCAGACTCCCTAAATTAAAACTGCCGGGTTCAGGGGTGAAAGTCCAGGTCTCCTCACCTGGAAGGTGGCAGCTGACCTCGCTGCACAGAGAAGCCCCTGGGGTGTTTCCTGGCGATGTGGCGCGTGGGCAGGAGTGTGGAGTCCTAGCAGCAGAGGTGTCCCCGTGGTTGATGGCAGTCCCGCCCCCCTCGTCAGCACTCGTGGAGTCACTGAGCTCACCGTGTGCCACCAGGTGGTGTCCAGAGCCGTTCTCAAGGCAGCGCTCTAGGGCCAGGCGTCCGGGGCCTGGCCTCACACGCGGCCGGGCTGCTCGAGAAGCTGGGGGATGGGGTCCCGAGTCCCGGCGGGGAGCACAGTTGGGTTCCATCCACATCATAACAGGACACTCTCCGACAGGGGCCTCCTGCCAACGAAGACACGCGGGAGAGGGCCGCCCAGGGCATCAAGGCTTTCGAGGAGCTCCTGGTGACCAAGTGTGAGAGCCCAGGCCCAAACCTCAGCACCTGCCCGGCTTGGGCTTGAGGGGCCTTCACCCCACCCTGCCTGTTCCCAGGCCTCCGCACAGGCGTGGGCCACCAGGCTCCTCGGGGCCTTGACCTCTGGGCCTGGTCACTCGAAGCCCTGCTCTTCCCGTGCCGGGTGGGGTCCTTGCGGTGACACTGTGGTGAGGGGCAGGCCCAGCCGCCCACCCTGGGCTCGGTCTCTGGTCACTCCCGCCACGTTCCTGAGCTCACAGCCCTGGGGGCCCTGCCCGGGGGTGCACGCTGGGGAGAGTCCCGGGGCGCCCGCCAGCACCTTCGCTTACTCTCCGCGGGCCTGCACAGGGCACAAGGGTCGCTGAGGGGGTCTGACCGAGGCACACGCGTCCTGGGGACGGCACAACCACATCCTTCTCCTTTCTTCTCAGGGAAGACCTGGGAAAAGGTCCTGCTCAGAAAGTCAGTGGTGAGCGACCGCCTGCAGCGTCTGCTCCAGCCCAAGTTACTCAAGTAAGTCTGAACGTGGGGAATGGGAAGCCGCCTGCCCCCGGGCGGGGCCGGTCCAGGCTGGCGGCTCACAATGGCCAGAGGCCCCGTTAGCCGTGCCCCTTGCTCTGCTGGGGTCGCTCCGCTGCAGCGGGAGTGGCACTGCTCCTGAACTTTCTCCCATGTAGGGCAGCCGGGCGTCTAGGGTGGCACGTGAGGGTGGGGCAGTCCTGGTGGCCATGTAAGTCATGTGACCTGGGTGCTCTCTCTGGCCTGGGCCTCAGTTTCCATCCCTGGAAGTGAGGACCATTTGCAAGACATGCATCCACGTGTGCTGATAGCATGGTGTCTCGTGACCACGTCACAGCACCTAGGGTCGGGCCAGGGGTCCCAGGGGCTGCCCACTGCCTCGCGGCTTGATGTGTGGGTCAGGATCTGTTGTGGTGACAGTTGGGTCGCTCCTTGGGCTGTAGGAGAGCTGGGTTTTCTGCTCGGCCTGTTCTGGAAACGGTTATTTCCGGTAGTGGTAACTGCAGCTCCGGCCTCGGTGCTGGGCGTGAGGGTCAGGATGTCTGGAGGGCCTCACTGTGTGCGGGGCGCAGGGCTGGGAGCGTGGACACAAGCTCTGGGACGTGGGGCGCCGGTAGTGTTGTGTCACCCACATCAGCATTGCCACATTGGCCGCCAGCATGACCGCCGTGACACCCAGCGGGAGGACCGCTGCTTTCTTTGCAGGCGCGAGGGCCAGGGCAGCTTACAGAGAGTGCGCGGCTCGTCTGCTTCAGCGGGGTTCGCCTTTGGACCCCGCGCCGAGTCTGTGCTTCCCGTCGCCGTGCTGCGTGGTGGGGTACGGCGTCGGGGTGACCAGCTCTTCGGGGTGTGTCCAGGATCTGTGGAAAGGCCGAGCTAGCCCCGGAGACCCCCATGTGCCCCCGCGGGGCACAGCAGCACCGTCGGTAACCTTGGTGCCTCTTCCTGCTCCTCAGGCTCGAGTATTTGCAGCAGAAACAGAGCAGCAGCACGAGCGAGGCGGAGAGGCAGATCCTGGAGAAGCAGGCCAGGGAGGCTGAGAAGGAGGTGCGGGACATCAAGTGAGTGGGGTCCTGCCGGGGAGGGTGTCATGCGGGGCGAGCCGAGGGCAGCCCGGCGTGACCCCGTGCCCTGGCCCCTTCCTCCAGTCAGCTGCCCGAGGAGTCCCTGCTGGGGAACAGGCTGGACGACCACGACTGGGAGAAGATCTCCAATGTCAACGTGAGTTGGGGCGGCTCCGTCCCGGGAGCTGGGGTGGGGGTCGGCACCGGGCAGCGAGGCCGAGACCCGCGTGGCCGCCAGACCTGCCGTGACCCTCTCCGGTCAGGTGCGCGTCCACAGCGCGGGGTGGTTTCCGGGGCTCTCCCTGCTGGCGCGTCTCGGGCCCCCCGAGCCCCACACACAGGCCCCTCCGCCTGCAGTTCGAGGGCAGCCGCGGCGCACAGGAGATTCGCAGCTTCTGGCAGAACCTCGAGCACCCGGCCATCAACAAGCAGGAGTGGAGCGCGCGCGAGCTGGGCCAGCTGCAGGCCATCGCGGCCGCGCACGGCCACCTGCACTGGCAAAGGATCGCCGACGAGCTGGGGGTGAGGGCTGGAGGGCCCGGGCGGGGGCGGGGCTGTCCCCTGGAGCTGTGGGAGGTTTCCCTCCTGACGCTTTCGAGGCTGTGGCCCTGGGGGAGGGTGCCCCCTCCACGCGTCCCCAGGCGGAGTTCGGAGGCTCCTCAGACCCCGCTGCTTCTCTGAGAGCTCACGTGCCTTCCACCCACATCCCAGACCAGCCTTTGAGCTCCGTCCAAATGCCTTCCCTCCCCGAGTTCCCGCCTGTCTCTCTCTAGTTGTTTTGGTGGTTTGAGAAGAACCTTTTCCTGGTTTCTTTTGGGTTCTGTTATCTTTCTTATCTCCTAAGGCGAGAACCGAGTTCTCTCACCTGTGTCTTTAGCGATGGAGGCATTTAAGGCCTGCTTTTCTGAGAACAGCTTGGTATGGAGTGTCTCCTTTGTATCGGATTTGGAGTGGCTGTGATTTCAGTTTTCATGTCCTCTTTGTATCTTAGCTTATGTAGAAATGTGTTTTTTCATTTTTAATTACTGAGGTGTGTTGGAATCCCTTTTGTTATTCTTTAGTTTGAATTTTATGACCTGGGAATGCAGTCTGTAAGCATCTCCATTTTTTAAATTTCTCACTTTTGTGGCCAAGCACGTGGTTGCAGCAGACCAAAGCCGCTCAGAAACAAAAGCGTGCCCTCTGCGCTGAGAGTCTGGGTTTCCGTATAAGCCTATTAAATGGAGCTTATTATATTGTTGAATTTTGCTCTCTGAAAGAATTGTATTGACGGAACTCGGATGAAGCCTGACATAACTGTTAAAAAGTCGATTTGTCCTCGTGTCGCCCACAGCTTTGCTGTATACGTTTAGCTGCTGTGCGACTTGGTACACTAGCTTTTATTTGCTTGGTAAATGAGGCTTTAGAAGAATCATTCTACGTGCTGAGTCCTAACCACTGGACTGCCAGAGAATTCCCTTTATGTCTTTAGTTCCTTAGTGTTTTTCTTTTTTAAGACTTTTTTTGTGTATCTTGGCCGCACCGTGCGGCTTGCGGGATCTTAGTTCCCCGACCAGGGATTGAACCCGTGCCCCCTGCGGTGAAAGCGCGGAGCCCTAACTGCTGGACCGCCAGGGAATCCCCAGACCGTTTTTTAGAGCTGCTTAAGGTTCACAGCAAAATGGGGAGGACGGTACAGAGGTCTTTCGTGCACCTTTGCCTCCGCACGTGCACAGCCTCCCCTGTCATGAACGTCACTCACCAGGTGGCACGTTTTTTTACCAAGGACAGATCTACGTTGACGTGTCGTGATCCCCCATGGTTTACGTTGGGGTTTGCACATTCTGCGGGTTTCAACGGAAGTACAATGACACGTACCCACCATTATTGTCTAGTACAGGAGGGTTTCACTGCCCTGCGAGTCCTCCGTGCTCCACCTATGCACCCTTCCTCCCCCACCCCCTGGCAACCACCGTTCAGTTTACTGTTTCAATAGTTTTGCCTTTTCCAGAATGTCATGTGTTTGTAATCATGCAACATGTGGCCTTTTCAGATTGGCTTCTCTTACTTATGGACATGCATTTAAGATTCCTCTGTGTCTTTTCATGGCTTGGTGGCTCATTTCTTGTTCACGCTGAATAATATTGCATTGTCGGGATGGACCAGAGTTTTTCATTCGCCTGCTGAAGGGCATCTTGGGTGCTTCCAGGACTTGTCAGTTATGAATAAAACTGCTGTAAGCATCCATGTGCAGGTTTTTGGGTGGACAGAAGTTTTCACCTCCTTTGGGTAAATACCAAGGAGCACGATTGCTGGATCATTATGTTTAGCTTTGTAAGCAACCGCCACGCTGTCTTCCAACATGGCTGCACCACCTGCGTCCCCACCAGCCACGGACAAGGGTTCCTGCAGCCCCACACCCCCACCAGCATCTGGTGTGGTCAGGGGTCCACATCTTGCCCATTCTGATAGGTACGTAGTGGGGCCTCACCTTAATTTTCATTTCCCTGGTGACTCACGACACGGTGCTTCTCCTCACGTGCTTGCTCGCTATCCGTGTATCGTCTTTGGTGACGTGTCTGTTGGTCCATTTATCATTCAGGTAGTTCATTTTCTGATTGTTGAGTTTTAAGAGTGCCTTGTGTGTTTTGGATATCAGTCCTTGTCAGATGTGTCCTTTGCAAACATTTTCTCCCAGTCTGTGGCTTGTCTTCTAATTCCCTTGACATCGTCTTTCATCGAGCAGAAGTTTATAACTTTAATGACGTCCAGCTTACGAGTTCTTTCTTCAGTGGGTCGTGCTTTTTGTGTCGCGTCTCCAAAGGCCTCACCACCTGCACACCTCAACTAAACGGACTGCAGGAGGTTGCCCACCCTGTGCTCTGTGACCAGAGAGCTTGCTCTGGGAAAGAAGACAGTTCACACCGCCTTAATTGGCTCTTGGAAAACCCCTTCCCCGTAGGAGATGAGTGAGGGGGCAGATTTGGGCAAAAGTGTTCGCGGCGGGGACTGGGGGCTGTGTGCTCAGCTGGAACTCTGGTGAAAGCCGGGGGCCCGTCGCCTTGGAGCTCTCCTTGCGAGGGTGTTCCAGACGCAGATGCCACACCAGGGACTGTCCAGAACCCCAACCCCCAGCCCCCTGCATGGGCGACGCTCGGCCACCCCTGATGGAGGCTTTGCAGAGACCGCCTCAGGGCTCCAGGGTCCGCGCCACGGTGCCGGCACATGCCTTGCAGGAAACCTTCACGCGTAGACTTGGCTGATCTGAGGCCTCTGTTGGGAATTTGAGTTCACAGTATGGTTTTGGTGTCACATAAATGGGGAGCTCTGACGGCTTGTGGACGTACTTGCTTTCATAAGCCAGTGTTGTGGACCCTCTTTAGTGGGCCCGAGCCTTCTGTCGGGGGCACTCTCCACTGTCCCCCAGGGGCCTGGCAGGAGTGCAGCCTTGGCTCGCAGTTGGGCATCCCCCGTGCGTGGCGAGTGCCAGTAACCCCCTGCCCCCCCCACCACGCCCCGCTCTGTGCTTTGGCCCCGGCAGACCTGCCGCAGTGCCTTCCAGTGCCTGCAGAAGTACCAGCAGCACAGCCCGGCCCTGAAGCGCAAGGAGTGGACGGAGGAGGAGGACCGCGTGCTCACCCGGCTTGTGCAGGAGATGCGCGTCGGCAGCCACATCCCCTACCGGAGGAGTGAGTCCCGTGCCCGGGAGGGCGGAGGCCCCGGCCGTGCCCTAGTCATAGCTGTGCGAGCTGGCGTGGCGGAGCGGGGGTCATGTCGTCCCGGGCGGCCGGGAAGCGTGGCACCCACAGAGCCCCTCTGTCCCCAGTCGTCTACTACATGGAGGGGAGGGACTCCATGCAGCTCATCTACCGCTGGACCAAGAGCCTGGACCCCAGCCTGAAGAAGGGTCTCTGGGCCCCAGAGGAAGACGCGGTACGCTTGCAGGACCCAGGGGAGCTGGAGCCTGGAGTTTAAAACTGAACTGGGCCTGGGGAGGTCATGACTGTGGCAGCAGAGGGACCGTTTGTGTGCTCCTCTCTCTGCAGAAGTTGCTTCGGGCAGTTGCCAAGTACGGGGAGCAGGGTTGGTTTAAAATCCGGGAAGAGGTGCCAGGTAGGAGCGATGCCCAGTGCCGAGATCGGTGAGTCGGACAGCGCTGGGCAAGGGAAGGCCTTGCTGGGGTTGCTTCCGTGTGGGCCGCGGGCCGGGCTGGGAGGCTGGCCTGGGATCACTGCTGGTGGAGGAGGAGGCCGTGGCCTTGGGGCCTAGGCGCACCAGGGCTCACCTGCTCAGGAAGCAGGGCGGCTTCTTTTTGAGACCAGGCTTGTGTACAGACTCAGCTGGACATCCTTTGAGATCCCCTGGTTGGCAGATTCCCTGAGCCCCGTGATCTGAATTCCTCTCCCAGATCTCTGGTGGCAGGGTTCCTGGCAGGCAGCTTCAGCTTCGTCCTTTTCTTGGCTCGCTTTTTTTTTTTTTCTTTTTAACAGCTTTATTCTGTAATTCACATATAATCCGTTCATTTAAAGTGTACAGTTCTGTGGGTTTCGTTGTGTTTATTGAGCTGTGCAGCCATCATCAACAGTCAATTCTAGAACGTTTTGGTCACCCCACAAAGAAACGCTGTTCCCTACCAAAAAACAGCAGTTCAGGAGTGAGCAGAGGGGGCTTCCCTGGTGGTGCAGTGGTTAAGAACCCGCCTGCCAGTGCAGGGGACACGGGTTCGAGCCCTGGTCCAGGAAGATCCCACATGCCGTGGAGCAACTAAGCCCGTGCGCCACAACTACTGAGCTAGCGCTCTAGAGCCCATGAGCCACAACTGCTGAAGCCCACGCGCCTAGAGTCCGTGTTCCGCAACAAAGAGAAGCCACCGCAGTGAGAAGCCCACACACCACAACAAAGAGTAGCCCCCGCTCGCCGCAACTAGAGAAAGCCCGTGTGCAGCAACGAAGACCCAACGCAGCCAATAGATAAATAAATAAATTTATTTTTTAAGAAGTGGGCAAAGGACTTGAATAGACGTTTCTCGAAAGAAGACTTGCAAATGGCCATTAAGCACATGAAAAAATGCCAACACGATTAGTCATTATAGAAATACAAGCCAAAACCACAGCAGGATACCACCTCACACACCTAAGGACGGTTAATGTTTATAGATAATAGGAAATAACAAGTGTTGGGGAGGATGTGGAAAAATTAGAACCCTTGTGCACTGGTGGTGGGATCATAAAACGTATAAAATGGTGCAGCCACTTGGGAAAACAGTATGGAGATTCCTCAGAAAATAGACCGAGAAGTACCACATTATCTAGCAATTCCACCCAGTGCCCAAAAGAATTGAAATCAGGGGCTCAAACAGAAATTTGTACGCCCGTGTTCGTGGCAGCACTCTTCACAGCAACCAAAAGGTGGAAACAACCCGAGTGTCTGTCAGCAGATGAGCGGATAAACGAAATGCGCTTCTAATGTAGGGACACTGGAATGCTATTCAGCCTTAGAAATGAGGGGTATTCTGATAGGTGTTACAGCATGCGTGAACCGTGGAAACGTGAACGTTTGTGTACAAGTGTTTGTGTGGATATACATACTCGTTTCTCTCAGCTACACCTACGAGTGGAATTGTTAGGTCCCATGGTGATTCTGCTTAACTTTCGAGGAATGACTATTCTCCAGAGTGGCTGTACCCTTTTCCATTCCCACCGGCAGTGTAGGAGGCTCCCAGTCTTCTACATCCTCACTAACACTTACTACCTGTGGTTCGAGCCATCCTAGTGGGAGTGAAGTGGCATCTCCCTGTGATTTTGGTTTGCGTTTCCTGAAGACTGATGGTGTTGAGTGGTTCTCCTGTGTTTGGCCATTTGTGTGTCTTCTCTGAAGAAACACCTATTTCTGTCCTTTGCCCATTTTTAAAATTGAGTTATAAGGGTTCTTTATGTATTCCAGATACAAGTCTCTTAGCAGATCCGTGATTTGCAAATACCCTGTCCCAGTCTGTGGGTTGTCTTTTCACTTTCTTGATGGTGACCTTTGAAGCACACAAGTTTCTTATCTTGCTGAAGTCCAGTTTGCCTGTGCCCTGGGTGTCATAGCTTAGAAACCACTGCAAATGCCAGGGCAGCAGCAGGAGGCCATCTTGGCTTCTAAAACGTCCCTTTGTTTTTATGTTGCTTTCAGGTATCTCAGAAGGTTACATTTTGGCTTGAAAAAGGGACGATGGAATTCCAAAGAAGAGGAAAAGTTAATTGAATTAATAGAAAAATATGGTGTCGGTAAGTTCTCATTTTTTGTTTTGGTTTTTCAGTTTCACACATACTCCATAGTGATTTTAACATTTGCGTGTGTCAGGGGGTGATCGTGGTGAGTCTAGTAACCACCTGTCCCCGTACAAAGTTACTATAACGTCATTGACGATGTTTCTTCTACCGTGTAGAGCGTCCCCTGGCTTATTTATTTGGTAGCTGGAGATTTCTACTTCCTAATCCCCTTCACCTGTTTGTCCTCACCCCTCACCCTTCCCCTCTGGCAACCACCCATATGTTCTCTGCATCTGCGGGCCTGGCGTCTGTCTGTTTTGTGTGTTAGACCCCGTGCACGAGTGCAGTCACACTTCCTCTGACTCATTCCACTTGACCTAACACCCTCTAGGTCCATCCGTGTTGTTGCCAATAGCAAGATTTCTGTTTTTTCCTTTCGTGGCCGAGCAGTGTTCCATCGTATGTATAGACACTGCATTTTCATTATCGTTGTCTGTCCAGTCATCTATCGATAGACGCTTCGGTTGCTTCCGTATATTGGCTGTTGTAAATAGTGCTGCTGTGAACATGTGGGTGTTAGCTCTTCTTTAAATGTTTTGGAGAATTCACCTGTGGAGCCATCTGGTCCTGAACTTCTGTTTGTTGAGAGTTTTGTTTTATTTATTTATTTATTTTTCTTTACTGTTTCAATTTTATTACTGGTAATCAGTCTATTCACACTGTCTGTTTTTTCCTGACTCGTTCTTAGGTGACTGTGCTTTTCTAGGCGTTTATCCATTTCTTCTAGATCGTCTAGTTTTTCGGTGTATAATTTTTTGTAATAATCTTACATGATCCTTTATATTTCTGTGGTGTCGGTTGTAACTTCTCCTTTCCATTTCTGACTTTATGGATTTGGGCCCCCTCTTTTTCTTGATGAGTCTGGCTAAAGGTTTCCCAATTTCGTTTATCTTTTCAAAGAACCAGCACTTAACTTTCATTGACTGTTTTCTGTTATTTTTTTAATCTCTGTTTCATTTATTTCCACTCTAATCTTTATTATTTTCTTCCTTCTGCTAACTTTGAGCTTTGTTCTTCATTTTCTGGTTCCTCTAGGTGTAAAGTTAGATTTTTTACGAGAGGTTTTTCTTGTTCCCTGACATAGGCTTGTATTGGTATAAACTTCCCTCGTAGGACTGCTTTTGCTGCATCCCATAGATTATGGATCTTTGTTTCTATCTTCATTTGTTTCCAGATATTTATTTCCTCTTTGATTTCTTCAGTGACCCATTGGTTGTTTAGTGGCAGATTGTTTAGCTTCCACATGTTTGTGTTTTTGAAGTTTTTTTCTTGTAGTTGATTTCTTTCTTTTTTTTTTTTTGTAGTATTTATTTATTTACTTTGGCTGTGCTGGGTCTTAGTTGCGGCATGCAGGATCTTTTTAGTTGTGACATGCAGGATCTTTTTTAGTTGCGGCACGCGGAATCTTTAGTTGCAGCACGCGAGCTCTTAGTCGCGACGTGTATGTGGGATCTAGTTCCCTGACCAGGGGTGGAACCCCAGCCCCCTGCATTGGGAGCATGGAGTCTTAGCCACTGGACCACCAGGGAAGTCCCTCTTGTAGTTGATTTCTAGTCTCATGCTATTGTGGTCAGCAAAGATGCTCGATATGATTTTACTCTTAAATTTATTGAGACTTGTTTGCGGCCTAGTATGTGGTCTATGCTGGAGAATGTTCCATGTGCTCTTGAGAAGAATGTGTATCCTGTTTGGGGGTGACGTGTTCTGTATATATCTATTAATTCCGTCTGGTCTCACGTGTCATTTAAGGCCAGTGCTTCCTTACTGATTTTTTTTTCTGTCCATTGATGTGAGCGGGATGTTAAAAGTCCCCTACTACTATTAGGTTACTGTCAGTTTCATTTTGCTTAATTCTCTCTATCTGTTTCTGTGTGTTAGGTCAGTTAGGTTTCCCGATCTTGGAGAAGTGGCCGTATGTAGGAGACATTCTATGGGCCCAGCAGTGCAGTCTTCTCTGGTCACCAGAGCTCTGTGTTCTAGGGGTGCCCCTACATGGGCTTTGTGGGCCCTTCTGTTGTGTCAGGGTCAACTACTGTGGTGCTGGTCGGCAGGGCCGGCCCCGGTACAATGGCTGTGGGCCTGCTGCAGGGCAGGGTAGGCTTCCTGCGTGGTTGGCTGCACATCCGGGGTGGGGGAGCGGTGCTTGGAGCAGGGCTTCTGGCGGGTGGGGCCATGTCCCCAGAGCTAATAGGCTAGAGGGAGGATTCCAGAATGGCGCCCACCAGCACTGGTGTTACTGCAGTGGACCTGGCTCCCCAAAATGGCTGCCACCAGCGTCTCCATCCCCAGGGGGAGCTCCATTTACCTCCTGCCTCTCTGGGAGGCTCTCCACCATCGGCAAGCATATCTGACCCAGGCTCCTTGCAAACCGCTGTCTCACGTAAGAGTCTGAGTGCACCCTTTAAGAGCGGAGTCTCTTGGGCTTCCCTGGTGGCGCAGTGGTTGGGAGTCTGCTGGCCGATGCAGGGGACACGGGTTCATGCCCCGGTCCGGGAAGATCCCACATATCGCAGAGCGGCTGGGCCCGTGAGCCATGGCCGCCGAGCCTGCGCGTCCGGAGCCTGTGCTCCGCAACGGGAGAGGCCACAACAGTGAGAGGCCCATGTACCGCAAAAAAAAAAAGAGCTGAGTCTCTGTGTCCCATAGCCCTCTGGCTCTCCCAAGCGTATACCCTGCTGGCTTTCAAACCCAAATATTCTAGGGGCTTGTCTTCCTGGTGCAGGACCCCCAGGATTGGGAGCCCAGTGTGGGGCTCAGACCCTACGCTCCTGGAGAAAGACTTCTGTGATGGTGATGTTCCTCCCGTTTGTGGGCTGCTAACCCGGAGGTGTGCATCCTGACTGCCCTGCGTCTCTACCCCTCCTCCCCGTCTCGATTTGGTTTCTTCTTTGTGCCTTCGATTGTGGAAAATATCTCGTTAGCCTCCAGGCCGTTCTCACGTGCGGTAACTCTGAGTAGTTGTCCTTCTGGTGTGTCCGCGGGAGGTCAGCTCAGGGTCTCCCTGCTCCGTGGTCTTGGCATCTCTGGTGTGTTCTTGATGCATTTGCTGTCCGAGGGCTTCTCACAGCTTTGAGCTCATGGTGGAGTTTTGCAGATACCACTGGAGGCCTGTGGTTTGCTCTCATCCCAGGCTGCCTCCCTGGTCATCAGCTCTTCTGCCCCTTTTTTTTTAATATTTTGGCCACGCCATGCAGCTTGTGGGATATTAGTTTCCCGACCAAAGACCGCACCTCGGTGTGAGAGCGCAGAGTCCTAACCACTGGACCAGCAGGGAATTCCCGTTCTGCCCCATTTTTCATCATCTCAGCAGGTGGTGGTGGTTTTTTCATTTTACAAACTAATTCATGTTCATTATAGGAAATTTAGAAGCAGAGATGTATGAAAAGAAGGAAAGGAACGTAACTCATTTCCTGTCTCCAGAGGTGGCCGCCATCTGCTGGCGTGCACTTGCTGGGTACTTCCCTGTGCAGGTGGCTTTCCTAGGAAGAGCCAGCTTATTTAAGTTGAGTCATTCCACTTTTAATTGAGCAGCTGTTTTTTGCTTTATGATGTGTCGTTATGTTATCTGTTACTAATGTTTCTCTACGTCTGTGCACGTTCTGCGTCCTAGCGTTATTTCCAGTAATCGTGATATATTTCCTTGGATAACAGTAGACAGGTTATTCTATCACTTTTCTGTTAATGGACGTTTAAGTTGCTTCTCATTTTCTGTTACGGGGGTGGAACGAGCTGAGGGTTCAGTGGCTCAGCCTTTGCTTATATTTGTTAATATCTCCTTAGAGGAAATCCTTAGATGTAGCATTGCCAGGTTTGAGGGTTCTGTCCCACGCAGTCAGACTGCCCCGTAGAAGCAATGCCCCACCAGCACTGTCTGGCAGAAAACACCAAATAATTTGAAGCGTCCGGTTTAGAAGCCTGGACTAGCAGATGTTCAAGGGCCGTCTCACATAAACATGGGTGACTTTTTTCTCACGGTTGTGCGTTTGCTAGAACTCCCCTCGGGCTGGCTATCCGTTGAGAGTCAGATACCCATCTTCTCACGGAGCCGCTCGGGTGTGGGAGCAGCACGAGGGTTCTGACGGAACACAGTGCGAGTCCGCTAGAGGGGCCGCCAGCGTACGGCGGAGAGGAGCCCTCTTCTCCAAGCTGCTAAGCTTGTGTTGTCCAAACCTGTTCGTAAGAGTAACTTCCGTGTCGTTTTGCTCTTGTAGGTCGCTGGGCAAGAATCGCCTCTGAGCTACCCCATCGGACGGGCTCCCAGTGCCTGAGCAAGTGGAAAATGCTGGTCAGGGTGAGGCCCCGGCCCCCGGGGGCTGGCGCCACCGCAGGCAGGATGAGGGGAGGGCGGCTGGCGGGCGAGGATGGGGGCCTCTGCTTTCCGGCTGTGGCATCTCTCCTTCCAGGCGGCCGAGGGCAGAGGGAGCTCGGCCTCCGTCCTCAGAGCAGCGGGAGGGCGCTTCCACCCAGCACACCCGGCCCCCTTGGCCCCCTGGAGGCGCACCTACTCGAGGCCTCTCCCCAGAGGCCTGGCCCGCCTGCCCACTGTCCCCCATCGCTGAGCCCCGGGGGTTGGGACCTCTAAGTAGCCCTCCTCCTACAGAAGCGGCAGCGGCGCAGGCGGGGGCGGCGGCTCCCTCGCAAGGTGCGGTGGAGCTCCAGCAGCGGGGACAGCAGCACCGCCAGCAGTGGGGACAGCGGGGACTCGGAGCCAGAGGCAGCGCTGGGGGCCCTGACGGGTGGCCAGGCGCTGCTGCCAACACAGCATGTGGTGCCTGACGTGGACCTGTGGGTTCCTGCCCGGCAGAGCGCCAGGGAGCTGTGGGGAGGGGGGCCCGGGAGCTGGCCAGGACCCTGTGGTGCCTGCCCCCGCCCTCCTGAGGGCTCCGACCCGGCTCAGGGTGGCCGCTGGGAAGCTTGCACCACGGCCTCAGCCCCAGCAGAGCCGGCAGGCCAGGCGCGGGCCGCCTCCGGGACCCAGAGCACCAGCCTGAGAGGCATCAGATGCCCGTGCTCGACGGATGCTCGCCCCTCGAGCTCCACGGGGCCTGCGTGCCAGGTAGGCCATGGGCGGGTGGGAGCTCTCCTGCTTGGGGTCAGCGAGGCTGCGCTCAGGGATGGGGATGGCCTGGGCTCACGCAGCTGTGCCCTGGGTGTGGGAGCAGACGCCTCCTCCCTGCACGTTGCATTGTGCACTCCTGACCCGTCCACTCGTTCTGGAGAGCTGCCCAGGCAGAAGCTTGCTTCCTGAGGTCGGCCCTCCATTTCCCCCACCTTGTTGCTTGCTTTTTTTTTTTTTTTTTTTTTTTGGCCACACCGCACAGCTGTGGGATCTTAGTTCCCCAACCAAGGATTGAACCCGGGCCCCGGCAGTGAAAGCGCTGAGTCCTAACCACTGGACCTCCCGGAAATCCCCCAGCTTGCTTGCTTTCAAAGCTCCGTGGGAGAGCTGCAGGGACAGGGTGGGTGCTGCCCCGAGCTGTGGGGCGGGAGATGGGCTCAGCGAGGAGGAGCTGTGCCTTCGGTCACCCTGCTTCCAAGGAGGCCCCTGTGGAGGGTCCCACTGTCCGTCTGCTCCGGTCTGACTCAGCCGGTCACGTGTGGGCGTGTCCGTGGATGTGTTGAGGCCCTGGGCCCAGACACAGCTCTGGCCACGTTTGGGTGGCGTCCACGTTGGGGCGGCTGTTTTGTGCTGGGCGCGGTTGGAAGCCCGCTCTCTGACACCAGGGACAGTGGACGCCACGGCCCCCGTGCCACGTGGGATCGTCTCTCCTTGAGTCTGTGACTGCAGGGCCTTAAGCCCCAGGGTTTGTCTCAGGCACGTCGTGTCATCAGCTCAGGGAGCTGCCCGGAGGAACGGGGACTCTCTTAGTCCTGGGTGTGGCCGAGCTGGGCAGCTTCTTGGAGCCAGGCCTTAGGGGCCCCCCTGCCCGCCTCTGAGGTCACCACACTCCAAAGAGTGTTTCCCAGCGGCCCAGGGCGCGGGTGCGGGACGCTTTGGGGTCTGGGCAGGGAGCCGTGCATGCGCCCAAAAGCAGCAGCCTCCTGTGGTCTGTCAGGGTGGGGACGTCCACTCGGGGCCCCTGGAGATAGCGCGGCAGGCGCTCAGACCGACGTGGCCACTTGGTGCCAGATGCGGCGCCCCAGGCCGCCAAGACCACCCCGATGCCCACCACCCGTCTCGTCTCCCATCCGCACCCTGCTCCGGCACCCAGCAGGAGTGGAGGATGGTGAGGGTAGGCGCATGGCTGCCCTGCAGCGGAGCCTGGCCAGGAGCCCCAGGGGCCTTTCTCTCCCCACAGAAGGAGCTGAGGCAGCCGCACCTGCGCAGCGCCGCCCCGGGGCCCACCCCTGGTGGCGGTGGTGGCAGTGGCAGGGCCAGGCCCTGCGTGCGGCCGCTGTGGCACAGGACCGGGCAGCGGCGCCAGGGACACGCCCTGCAGAGGAGGCTCCTTGAGCACCAGCTTCTGACGGCCGTGAGCCCATGGGTGGGCAAGGTCATCCTGCCACGCACTCCCCGGAGGCCCGCCGTGGCGCACAGTCGAGGTACTGCCTGGGGGCCCCTTCCCTTTGGGAGCCTCCCGTGGGGCCCAGGGGTAGAGTCGGTTGGGGAGGGGGGCTGGAGGGGACCTGCAGGCACATGGAGGTCGCAGCTGCCGTGCCGGGGAGGGGGGATGGGGGAGGGTACCGTCCGCCCAGTGTCGACCTGGGGGGGTGTTTGGTTTTGCCTCTCCCGTTCTGCTTAGCACCTGGTGGCCGGTTCAGGAAGTGACCAGACACTCAGGCCTAAGCGGGAGCATCTTCTCGGGATTCTGAGTGCGTCGGTGCCCGCGTATGGGTCACATTGTCTGGGGGGGGGGGGCGGGACTCTCGGGGCTCAGGAGTGTGTGCCAGCCTGCCAGCAAGGTCCTCGCTCTTCTTTCTGGTTGAACGCGGCGGCAGCTGGGTGTGGGTTCTCTGGGCCCCTCTGCACATGTGCCCTTGTCCCCTTCAGCTGACGGCATCAGGAGGCAGCTGCAGGGCGCCCACCTGGCCAGCACCCCCGTGTTCACCCTCTTCATTCAGGTAAGAAGCCACCGACGCACACCTTTTTTTCTCTTGTGCGTTGCGTTTTTGGTGGAGTTTTGAAGTTTGTGGTGGATTCCCTTAAAGTCCAGCTTTTTAAAGTTGTGGATCCTTAAAAATGGCTCTTCCGTGGCCTACACTTCTCAGCGTTCAGCTCAGCGTGGAAGGGGCAGCCATGGGGCGGTGTCCCTGCCGCCGTCAGCTAAACCCTGTGTGGGAGGGGCTGGGCCGTCCCGAGGGGCTGGGTCAGGGCAGGAAGGTGGCGGCACTGAGGCGGCCTGGAGAACCCGAGTCCTGGCTAGGGCCTGAGCCACGTGGCCACAGCCTCAAGGGGCTGTGCGGGCCCAGCCCAGGCCTCTGGGGCGTTGGCTCTGCTCCACGAGAGCAGCTGCGGTCAGCGCTGGCCTGAGTCCCTCCACAGACACCCTCGTGGCCTTGGCCCTGCAGGGGGCGGGGGGCCTCAGGATGGGCAGGAAGGCCTCCTGTCACGTGGTGGTGTGTGTCCACGTCCCTCAGTTGTTCCAGATCGACACAGCTGGCTGCATGGAGGTTGTTCGGGAGAGGAAGGCCCGGCCGCCCGCCCTGCTCCAGGCTGGTGCCCGGGACTCGCCACTCCTGCAGGTGAGGAGTGAGGGTGAGGGCCAGGCACGGGCTTCCCTGGTTCCCGCCACCCTTCCCTCCCGTCCCAGCGGCACAGCTTGCCCGGGACAGCTGGCGCCTGTCCAGCTGGGGAGAGAGGCATTTCCGGGTCCCTGCAGGCCGGGGACAGCCCGAGACGCTCCTGGGAGGCATCTGCCCATCTTCCGGGGGTGCCCGGGGCCCGGAGGGGCTTTGAGGCGAGTTCAGGGGCTGCAGGGCCTGCGCTGGCGCTCAGGCCGCCTGGTTGCACAGCATGTGCTCCTCCCGCCTGGCCGTACCTCCCCTGGGTGGAGCGTGGGGGCCACTGGGCGCCCGCTGCCCTGGGCACTGGCCCAGCTGGGGTGGCAGCCTGCTGCCGGTGGCCAAATCCTTGAGTCTTGCAGCTGGGGGCTGTGTCCCTGAGCCCAGCCACCTCGGGAGGAAATGACAGCATAGTGCTGCTGGTCGGAGGACCGGATACGGTCCTGTGGTGGCCCATCCAGGCCACGGAGCCCCGTGCCCTCCTGTCTAGACAGCCAGGTCCCCTGCCTCTCCCTGCAAAGCCCACACAGCCCTGACCCCACCGAGATGAGCTCTCCCAAGGGGGCCTTTGGGTGGAGTCACGTTGGGGGCGGGGCGACAGGCTAGTGGTGGTCTTGGTGGGGGTGGAGAAGTGGGTCTGGGCCCTTGGGAACTTTCCTGAAGCGCTGACTCTGGTTTCTTCTCCAGGTACCCTCGAGTGCCCAGAACACCCCAGGTACTGCCCATCTGCCTCTCCCTTTATCTGGGTGGTTTGTGTTTACTGGGGAAAGGGCCAGAGCTGTTACAGGTTTTGGATTTCAGTGCCTCGTGGTGGGTCCGTTTTTGTTTCTTTGTTGGTTTTTTTTTTTTTTTTCAATTAATTTATTTTTTATTTTTGGCTGTGTTGGGTCTTCGTTGCTGTGCGCGGTCTTTCTCTATTTGCAGTGAGCAGGGGCTGCTCTTCCTTGCAGTGCACAGGCTTCTCATCGCGGTGGCTTCTCTTGTTGCGGAGCATGGGCTCTAGGCGCGTGGGCTTCAGGAGTTGTGGCACGTGGGCTCAGTAGTTGTGGCTCGTGGGCTCTAGAGCACAGGCTCAGTAGTTGTGGCGCATGGGCTTAGCTGCTCCGCGGCACGTGGGATCTTCCCGGACCAGGGCTCGAACCCGTGTCCCCTGCATTGGCAGGCGGATCCTTAACCTCTGCGCCACCAGGGACGTCCTGTGGTGGGTCCGTTTGAATGCCACCTCAGGGAGGAGGCCTGGCTGGTGGGGCTGGTGGGGCAGCATCTGGTACGGGCCTCTCCTGCTTGTGGCCGTCAGTCTGCCCACACCGGCAGAGTCGGGCGAGGGTCTGGGGTCCTGAGAGGTGGTGTGCAGGGAGGAGGGCAGTGTAGCCAGTAGTCTTCGTCTGGAAGGCGTTTGAGATGTAGGGGTGATGCGCAGGGCCGTCGTGGGCTGGCCTTCCTCCCGGGCCCGCCCTGGTTGGGGCAGGAGCATGGCGGCTCGGGCTGCCGTGCAAGGGGAGGCCCGGGGACGAGCGGCCAGGCTGACGTGCCCCTCTCGGCCCAGATGCCAGGCCCAGCAGCTGCCCACCGTGAGGGCCCTTCCCCTGGGATGCGTCCTATCTCGGGAGCTCATCAGTCAGTGTCCTGTTCTCCCTGCAGGCTGCCTCCTCCAGAGTGTGCCGGCCCGAGGAGCTGCGAAGAAGAGCACCTGCCACACGGGGAGCGGAGGGCCGCAGGCCTGCCACGCGGAGTCCACGCCGCAGGCACCCCCGCCGGCTCCCTCCGGACCCCGGCCCAAGCCCAAAACTGTGTCTGAGCTGCTTCGGGAGAAGCGGCTGCGGGAGGCCCGAGCCAGGAAGGCTGCCCAGGGCCGTGCGGTCCTCCTGCCCCAGGTGCTGGTCTCCTCTCCTGTGGTCTTCCAGCCGCTGGCCCCCCAAGGCCCCCCAGTCTCCGGTGCCGTGCTGTCTGGGCCTGGGGGCCCTGTGGCGGCCGCTTCAAGTGCGTTAGGCTCTTGGGGCTCAGCCGCGAAGGAGAGACCCCTGACATTGCAAGCCTTTGCCCTCGCCCCGGCCTCCACAGGAGCCTCGAAGGCCCCGGCTGCCCCTGCTGCCTCCAGGGTCCCAGGTCTGGGCCCCGGCCAGGTCCCTGTGAGCTGCCGGCCAAGCAGTCTCGGACAGTCTCAGGCCCCTGCCACGTCCCGGAAGCAGGGCGTGCCCAAGGCACCACCCTTTCTCACTGCAGCGCCCAGCCCTGTTCGGCTGCCTGTCCAGCCCCTCAGCCTGACACCAGCTTTGGGCACACACACGGCAGCCAGCACCCCTCTGCCTGTCACCTGGGTGCTCACAGCCCAGGGGCTGCTCTCTGTGCCTGCGCAGGCGATGGTGGGCCTTCCGAGGCCAGCAGGGACTCCTGAGCCTCAAGGGCTATCGGTGACTCTGCTGCCCTCCCCAACTGCGACTCAGGCAGGCCAGGGCCCCAGGCTCCCTGGGCAGGGCCGCCCTTGGCAGCCCCCAACCAACACGGACACAGAATCAGACCCTGCCTCCAGGACAGAGCTCTTGACCCTTCCGGCGCATCCCACATCCCAGAGCCCTGCGGAGGTGGACATGGCCCATGGCCCTGGGGGACACTCCCCTGGAGAGACGTCTGTACCCAGGACGTCCTCCCAGGCTACGCCCCTGGCTGGCGACTCTGAAGCGGAGCCCCCAGGGACCACCTCAGGGCCAGGGGAGCCCAGGAGGCCTTTGGGCCTGGAGGGGCCACCCCCGCCCTGGCGCAGGCCTGAGAAGAGGGCCCTGGACTTGTGCCTCCTCTCCCAGGAGGGCGAGGCAGCTGTGCGGGAGTGGCTGAGGGGGCAGCGGGGGGTGCGTGTGCCCCCCCTGGGCAGCAGGCTGTCCTACCAGCCTCCCACGCTGTGCAGCCTGCGGACACTGTCTGGCCTCCTGCTCCGCAAGAAGGCCTTGGAGCACAGAGCTGCCTCCCTGGTGCCCAGTGGGGCAGCCGGAGCCCTGCAGGCCTCGCTGGGGCGCGTGCGCGAGCAGCTCCGGGACAGCCCGGCCTACCTGCTGCTGCGGGTGCGCTTCCTGGCGGCCTTCGCCCTCCCCGCGCTCCTGGCCACCCTGTCCCCCCGCGGCGTGCCCACCACCCTGTCAGTAGCCATGAGGTCCAGCCCCGAGAGCGACAGTGATGACAGCAACCCGGGTCAGCCAGAGCTTGTGGCTGGGCAGCCGGGGGACCCAGCCAGCGGTCCGCAGGCGGCCGCCATGCCTGCTCAGGTAGGTGGTTGCAGGTGTGGAGCCCTCGCCCCCTTCCCCATGCCTGTCCGCATCCCCCGGGGCGCCTCACCCCCTGTGGGTGTCGGCCCTCGCCCGGAGCACTGGGGGTGGGAGCAAGGGGAGGTCACGGCCGGGGGGCCAGCGGCTGGTTTCTGCGGAGGAAGAGGCCGCTCTGTGCACCCCACGCACGCGGACTCCGGCGGCAGGAACCTCACTGCCGGCATGGGGGTCCCGCCACCCAGGCCTCATCCACAGGAGTCTCCATGCCCCCCCGCGCGTGCATACGCTGACACACACACCCCTGGGGGTCTGTCTGTGCGCCTGCACTTTTTGGGGGTCTGTCCAGTTGCCGACTCCAGCACGTCCACGTCCAGAGTTCTCTAAGTTGTGGAAGCAAACCACCGTAACTGTTACCTGACAAGAAACCCGCCGCACACACGTGTGAAGGTGTCCCCTGACCCGTGCACTCAGGGAGCCCCTAGTCCCTGTTGCCTGGGCTGAGCAGGAGAGCCGGGTCGCCTCAGGACAGGGCCCCGAGGTCCCTGGCAGGTGGTGTCCGGCGAGCAGGTGGTGACCCCCAGAGAATCCCCAGAAGCAGTCCCTCGCCTTCACGCAGGGTGGCCTCGCTGCTGGCCTGGTCGAGCCTGGGGCCACCCTTATGCGTTGCCGGGGCCGGGGAGGCGGGGTTGTCACTGAGCTGTGCCAGTCCCTCCTGCCCGCGGCCCGGCCCGGCCCCCCTCCTTCCCAGGAGCACGGCCTTAGGAGTCCGGGGGGGCTTCTGGACTGAAGCAAAGGCAAAACACTGCTGGGCCCTAAATAGGTGTTGAGGGCAAAAGGCTCGCTGTCCCCCGCAGTGTGTGCAGCCTTCCGTGGTCCTCCGTCCCTGCCCGGCCAGCCCAGTTTGGGGGAACCGTGGCATAAGTGGCTGGCTCTAGGGGGGCTGCTCAGAAGGGATTGGAGCCCCCGAGTGAGAGAGGGGTCAGCGGAAAGCCAGAGCCCGCGTGTGACCCCAGGAAGGCAGCAGCTCCTGTCCCATCTCGGCAGGGACAAGTCCAAGGAGCTACCTGTCCCTTGCCGCCACCCCGTCCCCTGCCCATCCTGGCTGGAGAGTCACTCCTGTTCTCCGCCTGGACTTAGTTTCAGGGATCGCCACACCCCGGACAGGCCTCTGCCCCCTCCTGCCCGGACGGTCCCGATGAGCTTGACGTGCTCCAGACACGGCACGCCCGGCATGCCCGGAAGCGGAGGAGGCTGGAGTGAGCGGCAGGGTGAGGGACCCGGGCCCTCCCTCAGCTTTGCGCTGGGCACACGGGGCCTCAGGAGCTCATCTCAGCTTGTTGGCGTCACGCGGGGTGGGGTGTGGTATATCCAGGCCACTGCGGGCCGGGTCTCAGAGGCCCTCCCCTCCCTCACTCTCCCCTCTCCCACTGGGTTCCACACCCCAGCCTCTGCTGCTTCCCTCCTGCCGGCCTACGTGTGCCTTGGGGCCTTGGCACTTCTGTCCTCTCTGCTTGGGATTCTTCACCCCGTCTGTCTGCAAGGCTTGTCACCCCTCTATCCGGGTCTCTGCTCGGTGGTCAGCTCCTCAGAGACGCCCTCCCCAACCGTCCTAAGGTGGCATCGCTGTCCCAGTGCCCATCTGTCCTCGTGGCACTTGCCCCTCCCTGACACCTGACGTGGTCCATCCGTGTATCTGTCTGTTGTCTTCCCCGGAACATGAGCCCGTAGGGCAAACATAGGGTCCCCAGTGCCCAGACAGCAGGCACCAAATAGGCCCAGCATGGTCGGTTTTCACACGCCGAGACCCGGGTCGGGGGGGATGTTGCAGAGGCAGGAGCTGGGTCCTCCAGCACAGCGCGGGCTGCACTGTGGGAGGTTCTGGGTCCTGGGCTGGATGGCTAGAGTCAGGAGCAGGAGCTCTGGGGGGGTGGGGGACCGCAGAGGGGATGCCTGGGGTGGGCCTGCTTAGAACCCACTCAGGCTCCAGGGCCAGTCCTCCGCACGGCCCGCTCCGTGGACCGCAGGGGGGCTGCGAGGCCTCACTCAAGCACCCCCTGCCCCATGAGGCAGAGTGCTGTCCCTCTGCGTTCCCATCCGCGGGATCCGGCTGGGGTCAGGGCCCCCTGCCATCAGGGTGATCTTGTGTTCCAGGACTTCCCAGGGCCGGACAGCCACTGCTGCTGCCGACAGGAGGTGGGGCTCGTGCTGGACCCAGCGAGCCTGCCCACCCCGGGAGGCCGGCACCCAGCCCGCGGCAGAAGGGCTCTGCCAACAGTGGCCGCGTCGTGATGGGCTCGGCTGGTCCCTGAGTGCAAACCATGATATCGGGAGGAATGAAGAAATGTCCTGTTTCTTAATTAAAAGCAAGCCATGCGCTTTTGGTGGTCTCGTCCTGAGGTACTGGGCGGTGTGCAGAGGGACTGGGCCACCCCTGGATGTGTGGGGAGTGCGCCAGCTGGGCCCTGGGGTCCACAGAGCCCCTTCACGCTTGGCCTCTAGGGGCCTGTGGAGGGGGAGAAACAGAGGGTTACCCATCTCACGAGAAACACTTGTGGCTCTGGCCTTCAGGCTGGGGGCTGCTCCAAGCGGAAGGGCAGCCCAGCGCCCACCCGGGTGCCGCCACAGGCATGGGGCGGGCCCACTTCTGCCATCCAGACCACACAGGCCGACCCAGGTGGGTCCCCAGAACCAGCGGCAGCCTGAGTACCCACAGCCCCCACGACAGCCCCGAGCCAGTGCCCTTTTTATCCTGTGCAGGCATTTCTTTGGCAGGAGACCTAATCCCCGCGGCCTCTCCGTCCCTCTGGCCTAAAGGAGCTCGGGTGTGGGTGTTCGGTTACACCTCCGAGACACTGGCTTTCCTGGAGCTTTGTTCTTGCACGCTGCTCCCCTTTGCTTTCACCTTATTAGGGAAATTTTCCAACACAGAGAAATGGGACAAGTGCCCAGCGTGTGTCCTGCTCCCCCAGACAGCAGTCACTTGGGGTCACCTGTCTCCCCTTTGCCCGCACCCAGACACCACACGTCGTGTCGCACAGCCACAGGCTGACTCGCCACGTGGGTGTGTGTGTGTCACTTTGTGCCTCTGGTACTGGACCCACCAGCCCAGGCTCCCTGTGATCTCCTCTGGCCTGTGGGTTGTCTAAGATGATGGTTATTTAATTCCCAGACACTTAGTGATTTTCCACATGTCCTCCTGTTACTGATTTCTAGCTTGATTTTGACATGGTCAGAGAACATAGCGCTGTTATTATTTAATTCATAAACACACCATGAGGAAGACTCCTTCCTTAGCCTCATGTCATGAAACAGGAAACACTGGGTCACGGAGGGCCCGGCACCGGCCCTCTGCCTGCTGGGTGCGCAGAGCCGCAGCTCCTGCCACTCCTGTACCAGGACTTCCCCCCCAGACCCTCCAGGCCGGGGCAGGCTCCCCAGAACACGGCTCCCCCAGGGGCCTGGGGGCCTGCCCACGCCTGGAGGGTCGTGCCTGGAGGGTCGTGCCTGGAGGGTGACCTTGGGCCTCCTGGAGGCCTGCGGGGAGGCCCGGCCACTCAGCAGCGCCTGGTGGTGCCAGGATTCCCGGGGTTTAGCCTACTGACCACCATGGGTCCAGGAGGCAGAGAAAAACCCTGGGGCTGAGGGGCTCAGGACTCTACAGGAAGGGAGCCAGCAGTGCTGGTCAGGCCCCTGCCCACCCAGCCACAGCCCCTTCCCGGAGCTGTTGCTCAACCTGGCAGGTGGCAGCTCTCTCAGTTCAACCAGTGAGGCCACTCTGGTGGGGCGGTGGCCTGGGGCTTCCCCTGCGGCCCTGCTGTCGCTGTCCCGTGTGTCCTGGTGGGGAGGGGCTGCTCCCAGGAAGGGAGAGGCTGAGCCAGCTGCACCATGGGCTGGGGGTTAGGCTTAGGGCCTGCAGCCCCGCCGCCCCCACCAGCCCCATGCTCTCTTTGGACACCACGCTGCAGTCCTTATGGAACCAGAATGGACGGGACGGTGGCTTGGCCTCATCCAACACTGGCAGAGCCACGGCTCGTGCTCCCACTCTGCAGGGTCGGGGCTGGGCCTCCAGGGCAGGCCCCGGGGACCTGGCACTGGGCTGGCCGGCGGGGAGGCGCACGGGGGCCTCCAAGCAGGAGCCGCTTTCCTCGGGAGCCAGCAGCTTCCACTTCCCTGTCCCCGCCTCCTGGGGCCGCCCTGCTTGGGCGAATCAGAAGGCAGCGCGGAGATGGTCCCCTGCGGGAGGACAGCCGGGCCTCTGTGGGGTTAAGCGGACCCATCAGGAAGTGCACGGCTTTCCCCCGGCCCCGCCCGCCCTCTGTCCCGGCAGCCCGGCAGTCCTGCCACACACTGAATCGGGCGGCCCAGGCTGACCAGTGTCCGGCTAGGTGCCCCAGGAGGACCCCGAGGTAGGCCGGCCTGGTGCCCTTGCTTCAGATGGCTGGGAAGCCGCTGTGGCCCAGCTCAGGCTTGGGGCAGGGAGCGGGATCTGGAGCCAATACCCCAGGAGGGCATCAGGTGGCCTCGCTCTGCTGCCCTGTCCCCTTCACAGCCACCCGGCACCTGCTGGTCATTGCACTGGAATTAGCAGCAGGGCATCGTCAGGTGCGGGACGCGTGGGCATCAGGCTAGGAAGGCGGGGGCCGGGCCAGACACTCCAAAGACCCCAAGTTGCTGATGTTTTCATTCAATGTTTTGTCTGTCGCTGGGTGGGCGGGCTGACAGGGCAGCGCGAACCTGCTGCCAGCCGCGTCTCTAGGAGGGCGGCCCAGTCCCTTTGGGCTGGAAGCCGGTGTTTCCCACACAGGTCAAAGGCTCAGCCTGCGACGGCGGGGTCAGGGTCTCCGTCCCCACCGCTGGGAGGAGGCCACCACATGGCTGCTCCCGGCTCAGCCTGGCCCTGGAGAGAGCGGTTCCCCCACCGGTAGTGTAGAAGGGAATAGCGGCGGGCGGTTCCAGCGTAGATGGTCCCCTGTCGGAGAGCTGGCCTGACAGTCCCCAAGAGTGCGGCCAAGAGCAGGCCTCGCCTGGGAGGCAGACAGGAGGAGCCTGGACGGCTGGTGTCCCAGAGGCTGGAGGAGGCACGGAGCTGCGTTCCAGGCCAGCCCGGGGCGACACAACCACCCCTCCCAGTGCGCCCGGGGCCCTGGCTCTCCCTCCACCATGGGCCGTCCACAGTCACCCTTCCTGGAGGGCACCCTGTCACCGAGCCTGACCCGGAGCAGGCCGGCCCGGCAGCTGCTAGGTGACTGTTGCATCACCAGCTGAGGAAGGAGAGGAGGGGACGGGAGGGGATGTGAGCAGGCACTGCCCTGCGAGGAAGGAGGCAGTGCCGCCAGCACAGCCTGGTGCCTCGGGGGCTGGGGCTGGGATCCCTCCCCCGTGTGCCAGGGAGGTTGTGCTGGTAGGTGGCGCAAACAGCTCCGTGGGTAGGGGGCAGCCTCCCGCCTGCCCCGCAGCACTTTGGGGTGCTCTGGGGGGACAGGGCCAAAGGAGGGCCGTAGTGCAGGGGAGCTTGTTCTCCTAGATGCCACCTGACCCTGGAGCATCTCCACGCTGTTCCCAATGCTTATTGGGGTGACCCAGGGAGAGATAAAGCCCAGGGCGGCCAGAGGGGCGGGAGCAGGGCCGTGAAGGGCGATGCTGGGCGAGCCGATGGGAGGGAGCGGGGGCTTCTCCCTCTCTTGGCGGCCCCTCTCCTGGACGCCCCTGGGCTGGGTTCCTGGTCTGGCTCTGCCCAGAGCCCTGGCGGGCGAGGCGCAGGCCTGGCTCCTGGCAATGCCTGCTGCTCAGCCACGGCATCCCTCCCAGCTGCCTGCCCCGACTACGCCATGTCTGACTATGAGAATGAGGACGAGTGCTGGAGCGCCCTGGACGGCTTCCGTGTGAAGCTCATCTCCATCATCGACCCCGCCCGCATCACGCCCTACCTGCGCCAGTGCAAGGTTCTGAACCCCGATGACGAAGAGCAGGTGCTCAGCGACCCCAGCCTGGTCATCCGCAAGCGGAAAGTGGGTCAGTGCCCATCCCCCACCCCCGTCCCCCGGAGGCCCCCTGCCCCATCTGCCCGCAGCTGTGGTGCTTCACGCACAGCTGAGGCCCTGGGAGAGCCGTCCAGACCCCCGCCACTGCAGCCTCTTGGGGTTCTGCAGCCTTGCGTGCCCACACGTGTCCTCTGGGTCGCAGGTGTGCTCCTGGACATCCTGCAGCGGACTGGCCACAAGGGCTACGTGGCGTTCCTAGAGAGCCTGGAGCTCT